AGTCCAATAATTAATTGCATCCAAGAATTTAGCCAAATGAGAGCTCCATCCCTTAATAATATCTTTCAAATCAGACAATGATATGTAATTTATCATGCTGTCATATACTATTATCTTCAGGGATGAGAGCTGAAGCTCGACGAGAAGCCAATGAGTACGTTCCAAAATAGGGATAAACACCTACAATCATAAGTAATAATTCAAATTGCGCACTTATTTATGAACACCTTTAAAATATTTTAAAAAAAATAAATACTAACCTTATCGACCTCCCACCATGCAGGATAAAGTTTAGCTTGTCCATTAGCCAACACATATGATTCCTATCGTTGATTCTTCAAGTGAACTACGTGAAAAGACGTCGGCATAATTGTATATCGCGTATTTTTTATTTTTCTTTAATTTCCTTACTATTAGAAGACGTGACACCCATGCATCAATATGCTGTTTTACAAAAAAAGACATATATTAGTGAATTACATAAATTTTAAAAAAAATTAATCAAAATGAAATATAAGAAGAAATATAAGACTTACCCCCATCGAAATAGCCTTTGTCTTCAACTCCTAATAACACACCCCACCAAGACCGATCAATCAACAAATGCATATCATCGTTGAGTTTGTATATGTCAGTGTAACACCCTTGGCTCCGCTCATGTAGATAAAAATCAACTACGGTCTTAGCCCAAAGGGTATTATCCAGAATTGTTTCCGGTAGTTGTCTCCTCTCCACTTCATCTGCCGGAATGGTACTGACCGTAACTCATACGAAAGCCAACAGTCATCCATCATGTCCGGTACGTGAGGGGGTTTCTCAATAATTCGACATATTACGCCATATGAATCGGGATCTTGAATGGTGGGAGGGACCTCTTCAACGATGACAGGGGCCTCTTGAACGGTGGGAGGGGACTCTTGAGGATTATAGGGGCCTATTGAACGATAGGGGAGGCCTCTTGAACAATGACAGGTGAGTCAGGCTTCTTCTTACAGAGTCTTCGCACTATTGGGGTGAACGGAGACGTAATGGCATGTGCACGCCATCTGATGCGTGAATCCCGTCGTGCAAGAAAAACCTGACGTAAAGCATCCACCTTATCGGGCCGCTAAATATAATTATTAATACATAAATCAGTAAATAAACAGACATGATATTAAACAGTGAAAACAAAGACAAATATGTTTCAAACTTGCACGTATTCACCCAAGTCATTATTCTATCATAGTTCACAAAATGCATCAGATAACATTCCAGAAGTAAGCACTTATAAACATTTAAAAGGACAACATATAGGTTTAGTGCATGTTCAAGGACAACATAGAGAGTAGTAGTTTATTCTTGAAACTTAAATTTGCAACATTGTGAAGTTAGTATTTGTCTTTGTCTTTTGGTTGAAGTAATCCAATCCATTCAATTTTCAATTTGCAGAAGAAGAATAGTTTCTTAAACTTAAAATCGAAACACAAAACTTAAATCGCAACGCGAAAATGACTATCGCAACGCGAAATGACTATCGCAACGCGAATTGGACTATGGCAACGGGATAATCGCAATGCGAAATAAAAATTGCAACGCGAAACCAAAATCGCAATGTGAAACTAAATTCGCGTTGCGATAGTCATTTTTGCATTGCGATTTTCACGTTGCGATTTTTATTTCGCATTGCGATTATCCCATTGCGATAGTCAAATTCGCGTTGCGATAGTCATTTTCGCGTTGCGATTTAAGTTTCGTGTTGCGACTATTCTTCTTCTGCAAATTGAAACTTGAATGGATTGCATTACTTCAACCAAAAGACAAAATAAAGACAAATACTAACTTCACAGGGTTATTTTAGAACTGTTTAGCAATATTGGCAGCAACCGAATGAATTTACTAAGCAATCTAAGTGAAATGGTTAATCTAAGTGAAATTATGAGTAAATTATGTTAAATATGAAAAATCTTAAACTTACCTCGTTGCGTAGAGTATGAACCTCATTCTGCAACGATGCTACCATCTCACGTAGAGCCGCTACCTCACCACGTAAAGTAGATACCTCGTCAAGCCATGCACCATTGTCATCGCGTAAAGTACCGACCTCCTCACGCAAGGCATTGACCTCATCACGTAACTCCCCTAACTCATCCCGTGGAGGTGGAGAACAGGGAGATAAATATCGTAGCATCTTTGCCGGTCGCTTATCATGAGGTTATGGTGGAGAAGAGACTCGATGATGTGACGGAATAGGTGATGGCTCTCGTTGTAGAGGTATATAGTGTGGTCGATTAGGTAATGGCTCTGGGTGAGGTGATGGCTCTCGAAGTGGAGGCTGCTCATCATCCGTGCCATCAAAAAAACGCTTACTAGCTTGCCACCAATCAGTGGCAAGCTCAGCCTCCGTGGGTATCAGCCTCTGTAATGGAGTGTTGGCCTCCTAACAATATAAAAGCTCAAACAAAGTTAAACGTGTACTAGTAATAACTTGTTTATATATATGGTAGTATTTGTGTTAACTTACATCATTTATTATCGTATACCGTAGTAACTCTTCCCAAATCAACAGCCGCCGTTTCCTCTTCCAGGAAATAGCTCTAGAAATATCATTTGAAGTTTTTAATACATATGTCTGCATGTCGGGAAAAGCCTCAAATATCCAAATCTACAAAAACAATATAATACACAAACATTAATAATTTTTAAATAATTAATTATAATTTTGGAAACATTATATAGAAATTCTTACCTTAAAGGCCCAAATAAAGCCTGACAAAGTGTATTTGGAACCATCGCCACGCAAACTTTTGCGGTCATCAAAGGCAGATGACAACTTATTTCAGGTAGCTTTCCATAGATACGAACCCCAAAGAAACAGGTTCCATGCATTTAGGTCCTCTACCAATAATATTAGCTCCTTAGAATAGGTTGTCTGGCCTCTCTGCCTAAAAAGTTGGCATGCAAAAGTACTAAAAGGCATACTTGGACAACACCGACGTCATCCATCCGAGTAAAACCATCTTTCTTATTCAATAAGCTCGTCAAGTCGTCAACGTGTAAATTCGGCTTCTCCATTGACAGCTCAGGAAAAACCCGGGATAACCATGATGGGCGGGTAATATGACTAGTGTATCGACCTACACCATCGTGTCCGAAGCGTAGACCAGTGATTAAGCAAAACTCCTCCCGCCCAAAACACGTATACGCCGGTGGAAAATGAAACCATATCTCTTTATTACCACGTTTTATACTCTCAGGTAGATCGCTAGTCATGGTCTGAAGCCACAAATGGTTCAACATAGCATCTCCACCCGGATGTTGTACTTTCAGCCATGGCCCGAAGCAAGTATCCTCAAATAATGTTCTTTGTACAGGTGAAGCTTCGACGCAATTGTAGTGACTAGGCTTATTTTATTCCTTAAGGTCAATTGAGCCGAAAAAAAGTTCTACAAAAACAATAAACATACCAAGTTAGATTAAAAACTACACTGTGAAGATATACCAAAAACAATAATAAACATAAAGAGTAGTAGTAGTTTATTCTTCAAACTTAAATTTGCAACACTGTGAATTTCGTATTTGTCTTTGTTTTTTGGTTGAAGTAATGTAATTCATTCAAGTTTCAATTTGCAGAAGAATAATAGTTTCTGAAACTTAAAATTGCAACACGAAAATGAAAATCGCAACACGAAAAATGACTATCGCAACGAGATAATCGCAACGCGAAATGAAAATCGCAACACGAAAATGACTATCGCAACGCGAATTTGACTATCGTTGCGATTTTCATTTCGCGTTGCGATCCTCAGTTTCAAATAGTCATTGTCTAAAATTGAAACTTGAATGAATTGCATTACTTTAACCAAAAGACAAAACAAAGACAAATACTAACTTTACAGGGTTAAAGACTAAACAGTTTAGCAGTATTGACAGCAATCAAATGAATTTAATAAGAAATCTAAGTGAAATGTTTAATCTATTATTGAAATTACCAGTAAACTTATCATCAATTTCAATATGAAAAACCTAATAATAATGCAAAATTTTCAAAATAAAAATAATTAAAAAAACTAACCCTTGGTGGTTGATTTGGTTGATTTTCCATTTCTGATCGTGAATGATTGTGAGGGTGGCTCTGAGAGATGGAGATAGACGGATTTTGCCAGAGATGGGGACGGATTTCGTCAGAGATGGGGACGGATGTCGTCGTAGAGAGTGAGAATGGAGATGGGACTGAGTTGTGATTTAGGGTTTTAGGTTAAGAATTACGATTACGAGATGTATTAATATTCGTGTTTGGAATTTGAAAATAAAATACGCGTTGCGATACTAATGGAGCAATTGAAAATCGCATTGCGATTTTGTATTATCGCGTTGCGATAGTCAGAATCGCGTTGCGATTTACATATTCGCATTGCGATAGTCAAAATCGCATTGCGAATCTGGAAACTGATTTGCTATACTGGAGATCGCATTGCGATTTAGAGATCGCATTGCGATTTTGTTGGTCATTTTGGCAAATCGAAAAAAAGTTGGTCAAAATCGTATATTATAAGGAATTTTCGGTCACTGAGGTTATTTTCTCTTCAGTTTATTGGTTTCATTTCAGATCTCATATATGGATATGAGTTCATTTTTTCTTATATTCGATATTCATTTTAATAAATAAAAAAAACGATCAACAGACACAAAATTTAAGGGCATATTCGCTAGAGATAATTATCACTACGGAGGGTACAGCTTCCTGTTTATTGGCATAAACTCCACCTAACACTACACTATGAATATCTGTAAAAAAATAAAAAGGAAAACAAGGCTTTGGTTCATAATAATTTTAAGACTAACTATGAAAAAGTTTAATTCAAATCAAATCATAGATGATGCCTAAGGGATTTACAAAACTGTGGAGCCTGGAGTGAAACGCATTTTTCTTGTTAAAATCGGGTGTCTCAAGCTGTAATCATTTCATCTTTGGTTTGATAGAATCAGGCTTCCATCAACAGAGCCAGGCCTATTTGACTGTTGAAAAGGATGTTTTGATAACCTGAAAACAATTATTGATACAACAGAAGTAAATGAATGGATTCTCAGAATCCGAAACAACTGAGTCACCTGTGACATTAAACCATGGACTTACTCCACTGTTATCTTTGAACTATCTCTAGTAATCTTAGCAGGCGGCGATTCTTCCTGTACTGACATTGCATTTCTAGTCAATTGTCAGCTTGAGACAAGTATACAAATAAAAATAACAGTATTGACCTTCTTTTGAGAGGTCCCTAGGGCCAGGGGGCCAATACGAGAATGAATCAACTGATTCTCTGCTTGCTCTGGCTTTTCAGCTGCGAGATGGAATAAAATATTTTCATATTCATTTGATATGGAATCAAAGAAGAAAAATCTGAAATTTGTCTAGCAACAAAATCTGCATTGCCAAGAAGAAAGGGTATTTTCCCAGTACTTTAACGGATCCAAGACGTGAGAATCAAGAGAGGATTTGAAATAAGTGATATTCAATGCATAATATTGCAGAACGAGATAGAAAGTGAGACGACAAGCATTGTGGAAGTAAATAAGCTATAATTAACATGTTTACAGTGAAGGCCAAAGTCTTGGATCTTATTGAGAGGAATGGGTTGTATCCTTGAGGGTATGTCAACTTTTGCAGCAGAAACAGTCCTTGTTAGATCAACTGCTGGTTGGGTTGAAACATGGATTACAGACAGCCATCATCCATACCCTGGACGAGAATGGCCACCCCACATGGGGTTGCATCTATTAGCTCGGACTGCTGCAGATTTCCCCAATCTTACAAGAACACAGCACATGTTGCGGTTATTAACATGTTCCTATGGTCACTGGCATGTTGCAAGCATCCAAACACGTGTAAAATCCAAATGCAACAAAACAAGGGCATCATTGCAATCAGAGGATCTTGATTGAAGTTGTAGGTTAAGATAATATGAAAACGTAACTTCCTACAGTAGCATGTAACTGATCTCCAAACACAGTGATGGAGTAGCACCCATACTAAAACTATTGATATTATTATTTCTATTATTCATATTCTCAAAAATAAAAGCAAATCAAATTATTCAACTTTGATGTCATAGTTGTTTCAACCTTTGAAACGAACACGCAATCAATCAAAAGCCAATCGTATAAGCTGATGAAATCTCATTGGTGTTAAACAATTTTTGAATTGTAACAGCTCAAATAGGTAGATATAATGTTCTCTTAAAGAAGTTGAATTTTTTAGGTTTTCTTAAAAATGAATTAAGTCTTCTTAAACTATTTTTTCCTAGCTCTGTACCCGTGGCATTGACTTGAACATATCCAGGAAGTCCATGGGCCAGGGACAATAAAATTTCCTAAAAAAATTATACCGAGACCGGCATCCAGTTGGAAGATGTACATATTTCTTCCATCCTCCAAGTTCTCATCCATCCAGAAGAAGCAATCCGATACCAAATTGTCTATACATGGAATACATATTAGATGAACCGCATAAAAGAAAATGTCCATTGTTCACTTGGATCTTAAATACTAAAAAAAAACTCCCCTCCAACAGACAGGAAACTATTACTACACCTCAACTATTCGGGTCACTATGCCCACAGCAACTGTTCTTCCCAATGTCCTAAGAAACACCCTTCCAAGGGCTTTGCATTTCGAAAACTCTTCCACACAAACCGCTTCATGCAAAGTCACCTGAAAGAAGAGTGGCACCAACCAAATTTGATTGCATTTATCAAGTCAACAACCCAAATACACCAGCAACTAGCAAAAACAACAATATCACCCAGCTGACTTGCCTCAACAACTGCACTCTGCTTAGCAACAATGCAGCGGGGTGCTTTCTTTGCAACTTTCCCGGTCTTTGAATCAAGTAAAGACGATATCCTTGCAACTCTAGCAGACTCCTTTGCATGGTGTATATGAAACTCCAACTGACATTCCCATATCAGATTATTAGATTGTTTATATAAACCCAAACATTACCAACAAAAAAATTTAAAAAAACTTTACAGAGGAAAATTGCCTGAGAACCGATTAAAATTGGGGTTGCGACATCCAAAACAAGCACCTTCAACTCCAAATGTTTAGCAAATGCAACTGGAAAATCAGGATGGCATAAAACACCACCAGCCAACACATGATTTGCATCTACTCCATGCAGGCTGACAGCAACATTATCCCCAGCTCTTCCAATCGTACAAGGCTGGGAATCACGCTCCAAGGAACGCACAGTTGCTATAATTGCTGATGGCATAACTAAAACCTACAATCACACACATTAAGTTTATAGTTAAGGATGATATGCAAGTTATATTAAAATCAGAAATCTATATCATCAGTAACCAAAATGGGAAGTTTAAACAGGTAACAATAACATCAATCAAATAAAGACACCAAGGAGCAGGACGGGAAAACAAATTCAAACTACTTTTAGAAGCTCATTAAATAGCGGGAGCAATGCATATAATCTTCATCACCGAGAAATTTACATACCTTTGATCCACTTCTTAAAGCTCCAGCCTCCAACTTGCCACATGCAGACACCTGCCCCTGTGAAGATGATTTTATAACATCACATATAGGCATAAGTAGAGGCTTCGAAAAATCTCTAGGAGGAGGTTGGAAGGAATCAATCGTATCTAATAGATTGGGTCCATGATACCTGCATTAAATTACCAGTTAAATTCAACAAAAATTGTTGTGTGAAAGGGAAGTCGGGAAGAAAAATTTGACACATTTCTACAGAGAATGAGGTATTTAGTCTAAGTTATAATAAATTTAATTACAAAATTAGCAGTGTCATGCACAATATCTTATGTGATGAACACCACAGTAGTGTTTTGTAGATTAAACACAAACATGTAAACTTGTTTGAACCTGAATAAGGGTGTTAGTCACAGAACCAAAAGTTCCCTTTCAATGAGAATATGAGATTAGTGCAACATAGACAAAATGATCAAATCATATTTTTACTGCAACAATAATTTAAGAAGCTTCTACTCTCTCCATCTCAATTACAAATAATTTTGGAGGCCAATGTAAGACCAAATACTCCAGTGTCAAATTTGTATCCAAGTTTTGATGGTAATCACTAGATCAGTACAATAAGGACAGCCCAATTCTCCTACTCTGTGAGATTAAAAATAACATAGTAGGCCATCATAAATTAAGGGATGACAGGAATTGAAACAGATAAATTAAACTATATGATCAGAGGTGATAGTTTCATCTATCAAGAAAGATACATCAAGTGACAGAAGGTGGTTGTTAAATTCGACAAAAGCAGAGCCAAAACTGAGCAGCCAACTAATATAATCTCCTATGAAAATCCAGCCATGGTACTTCTTTCCCACAAGATTTCATTAGGATCCGTTACAACTAACCTTTTCTCTTTTTCCAGTCGATAGGGACTGAAGTACATCTGGATTAAAAAGTGTAGTAACTTCAAATACATGCAAGAAACTCACCAGGACAGACGGAAATCCGAAGGTGCAGACACCAAATTCTGATTTTTGGCAGCGCTCAGTGGAATCCATGAGACAGAGGAATCCTTAAAACCACAAGAGCGGAGAAATGTCCCAAGCTGCAATATTATCAAATCAAACCGATCCTTAGAATAGTCTACAACATCCATTTTGTTTACAGCAACTATAAGCTGATCAACGCCAAAACTTCGGATGAGTTGTGCATGCTCCCTAGTCTGTCCCTTTGTGCCATCCATACCAGCTTCAAATGACCCAATAGAAGCATCTATTACAAGAATTGCAGCATCAGCTTGTGTTGCCCCAGTTATCATGTTTGGAACAAAATCTTTGTGTCCTGGGGAGTCAAGGACAACGACATGATATATTTTTGAATCAAAATAAGCTACAGCCACTGTCATAGTAATTCCCCTTTCCCTTTCTTCAGCACTCTCATCTAATGCCCAAGCATAAGCAAAGGATCCTTTTCCCTGATTGAATATAAGTGGGGAAAAAATCAGATTATGGATGTGTTCAAATAAAGCAATCAAAAAATACTCCAGTGATACCCACCTGCAATTTGGATTCTTTTTCATATTTTTGCATATCTTTTTGGGATATTCGTCCCAAAAGGTGAAGCAATCTACCAGAGAGGGTTGATTTTCCAGAATCAACATGCCCAACCTAAGAGATGTGAAGAGTTATATAATCAAATCATGTTAAACTGAAAAAGATAGAAGATAAAACACCTAAAATTTTAGAATTCAAACTTGAAATGTAACTTACAATTGCGAGATTTAGTTGAGCCAGTGAATGTTCTGTTTTTCCTGGAAGCATCCACTTTTCAGGTTTATACTGTGCATATGAATTTGCTCTTCCAGGGTTTGTATCATTGGAGTGCCCAGATTCAGCAGAAAAAGAAATGTTCTTCAGATTACTGGCAAGATCATGTGCCTTACCTCCATTCCTTGAAGAGCTGCTATTAGCCACCATAACATTTCTTTCTTTTGGCATCAATGATAGTAAGCTTTTCCCACTAGATTGCATATTAACAGCCACACTGCTTTCAACTTCATGATCTAGACAACTTTCCAGCACTGGTTCAGAAGAGTTATCTGAAGTTCTGGAACCTGCTGGTGCATCAACTTCTAAATTCTTCAGAAAAGTAATCTCATCCAGTCTATTGTGCTTGTCTTTTGCTGTTGACACATCTGAACTATCTAACCTTTTAGAACTTACTTTAACTGCCTCATCCTCCCCAACCACAATTGAGTGAACTCTGGAAGATTTTAAGTAAAAAATGTTGGCTGCAAGTGAATTAAAGCCTGGAATAAGATACAACCAAGATCAACTCGGTACAAATCAAAAGTTTAAGAGACCCATTCACTATAGGTCTATTTTAAAGATGGAAAACTGTCATGCATAAACACACTCTTAAACACTCAGAATGAAAATGTATAACAAAGAATAAAATCATCATCTATTTAAAATCCAGACTTGCATTTGCATATTTATTTCAAGATTCATAGAGATATCAATCCAAACAGCAAGACAGTGATAATATGTGATGTGTTGTACCTTACTCCATTCATTCTAAAAAAAAGAGCAGAGTTCAAAAGAAATGGTTCAGAGCAATGACAGAATAACCCTCCAGTTCCTTTAATGCCTAACATGAAACAATTAGGGAATAATTTCATCAGGAGGTGAAACTGATAATTCATGTAAAGTTAGCATATACATGATGGCATGATATACAGAGCACTAAACCCCCAGAGGCAGCATCTGACAGCAGAATCCAGCAATCTTGAGAACAAAATGTTTCTATTGTTTTGGAAAAAAAGATTCTCAAATTTAAAAAAAACATTTTTGGTAGATAACTAGATATCTATGTCCTGCTTCAACATATTTCCAAACCTATATGGAGAAAAATGGGTAGGAGAAACTCTAAGCTTTACGGAATTCACAAAATAGTTCTTGGTCATTCCCAAACGTCTGCAATTTATTGTCCTATTTCACCACATAAGCATCATTCACTGATGTATAAAGAAACTCGGCCATAGAAGATACTCCAGAGTCTTTGCATATACAGTCAACTGCAGGAAAAAAGATCAAATCTAGAAAAAAAGGTACCATTCAATCTAATGTCAAAAGAAACCTGTGAAATAAAGATAACTAATTTTTTATGGGACATCCAAACACTCACAAGCTATCTGCTTGACAACTTTCTAAGGAAAACACAGAACCCAGGCATGAAGATAAAGAAGAACAGAAAAGAAAAAGAATGATCTTAGCACATCATATAAGAACAAGAATATCTCATTCTCCAATACTAGATAACATACATACCTGCTCTCTTCTCATCATAGGTTAAGTTTTTGAGCAAAGGACCACGAAGAACTCCACAAATATCACATGATGACATGGTTTCATCATTATCATAGGTACATACAGCGCAACGCCACACACTGCGTTTGATTGTTTCTTGTTCGGGAGGCGTTTCCTCTGTTTTATGAGAGAGATGGCACTCGGTTTGTAAGAAGATAGATACAACTATAAGTGCTGTTAACCATTTTGCTTCCAATCAAATTGATTTTGAGCTAGCTATCTATGAGAGCCCATAGTGAATTGTAGAGCAAACCAACAAGAAAAACAGATGACCTGATTGGTATCTCATCACAGAGCTAAGATATGACAAGGAAAAAAATCTACTCACCATTGTCTTCTACTTCATATCCATAGTCATATTCATCGTAGTCATCATCATAATCAACTCCATAGTTAACTTTTCGAGGCATAGTTCTAGCAGCCAAAAAAACAATCAGATGTTTCAATCAAAGATGAAACAAGTTGAGAGCAAAATTTGAAATTTAAGCTAATAAAATAGTCACATGTGTTTAATAGTTGCAGGAATTCACGGGAAACTCAAGTAAACTTTAATTGATAATAAGATTAAAGACTTACGAGTTCAAGTGGTGACCTTAACCTAAAAATGAAAACATTGATAACTAAAAATAGCCATAGAAGAATGAGCTAGAATCCGACGCGAAGTTTATTTTCGCCCCCGCATCAATAATACATAAACCAAAAATTCCTTCAGATAACCGAGCATATACTCTACTGCACTACTTCAGATTTGAAGTGCTTCCTTCACTTAAAAGAAAAATTAAAAATAAAAAGTAGAGATTCAAACTGTCTGACTTAGGTGAGGAGTGAGATTGACAAATTTTAAAGATTTCGGAGCAATCAAACATGGTTGGGGGTGAGTTATGAAAATTCAATCTGCAAGCATTATGTTTAGGAATCACAATCTATTATAATTTTCCTGAAATTTGACCTCCAATATCCCCCTAGTCTTAAAGAAAAAGAACGGGTAAGCAAACAATGTACCTGACTGAGGTCGCCGAGGCTGTGGAAGATGAAGTTGGGGGAGATTTTTTTTTCCCCTAAATCATTTTTGCAATCCAAAAATATTTGCCAAGCAAAAGGAAAAGGCCAATATCAACTCTTCTTCAAAATGGGCCGGGGCTACACACCGATTCTCTCTTTATTAGTGATAGTATTTTATTTTAGACCTTATAGATCAAAAACTTTGTAATTTATTGTAAATAAAACACGAAATTGTTTTTTTATTAAATTAATATGATTATAGAGTAAAATTGTTTTAAATATTTTTAATTGTTTGACAATGATGTTCAATCATCTTATTGTAGCCATTGGTGCTCGAACCCGTAACCTTTAAGAACAATAACGATTCTTTTTACTGAGATAAATGATTCGTTAATCAATCTTAATTTAGTCGTTAATCAACAGTTTTTTACTTTCAATATTTACAAATAAAATTAGATCACATAATTTTATTTAAAGAAATTAAATAATAAAAAAATTAGCGTAAATTATATTTTACTACTATTACATAATACATTAAAAACGCATATAAACCATTACATGTGAGAATGTGAATTAACATAGCGTCATTCACTTGTACGTAACGCAAAGTTGCTACGTTTTCTTTTAGTAACTGCATTTTTGGGTAAACATTTATATTGCTTGCAATTGCATGCCTCAAAATACGCTTCTTGGGTTTGGAGTTGGGAAATGCAATATTAAGGGATGTACAAGGTGGTCGCTTTTGTTGAGAACTTGAGATTCCAAATTCAAAACCACTGAAAACAACTTGCATATTGTAGAGATGCAGAGAGAATGTCTCACGTGCACTCAATCGAACACACGTGGGAGAAATTCTTGGGAAGCGTCGCCATCTACTTCACGTGATGCCCCATCCGCTCTTGGAATGGGACCTCTTTACCACTTTGGATTCGGGTCCATCTTTAGGAACCAGGAGGTATACTTGTTTAGATTCTGCCTTATGATTTTATCCTCTCTGGCTCTTCCATATTTGTCATTATAATTCTTCACTTCAATCACTAGTTAATTTGGATTATCGACCCATCTCATGATTAATAAATATTCTCATTTGTCTAACTCTTCTCTCTTTAACATTGTTTTCATGTAGACTATTTATGATTTTAATTGAATTGACTCTTAACTTCCCACACATATGTCCTTTAGTTTTATCATCTCATAGTATAGCAACAAATGACTTCATTATAATTAAGTTTTGCAGAACATCAAGTCCTAAATTTGACTTGAGATACCACATCGAATTTTTTTAATATTTTAGAAGAAAAAAAGTTCAACTTTAAGTTTTTGGAAAAATGAATGTGTTAGTGATTTTTTAATATAAATATATCTATTTAGACTAAAAATATTTTTATTTTCCAATAAAACATAAAAAAATAAATTACTCTCATATTTTCTCAAGACTATAACATTTTTCAATACCATATCAGCCATTTTAGAATAATATAAATCATAAAATATTTGTTCTCACTTATTTGGTTAATTCATCACATAATAAGTTAATCAATAATTATTTATGAATGAGGTTTATATTGAGGTCTGTTTCATATGAAGGACAAAAGTGAACATGACAAATTTGTTATAAAAAAATTCATCCATGCTAAATAGAACGTGATATTATACATTATTAATAAATTAAATACATATATATATATATATAAAAAAAATCAAATCATGTATCATTACTTAATTAGTTATGTGTGTATAAAATATAAATTATAAATGCATTCTCCTATAAATATGCTAAATGATATGAGGTAATATTTTTAACTTTTATAGCAACTAGCAAGCAAATTAAGAAGACCTGTTAAAACCTTAGTGGAACCATTCTTGAAAACACACTGACAATGTTGCCCTAAACTATGAAATCGAAGCAACCTCATAAGCGGGGCAAACTAGAGTGAAGATCACACAAACACCGGAGAAACTGGCTATGATAGTAAATAGAAGATATGTATATGGAGAAAACAGAAAGCCGACTACTATACTAAATATAGGTTGTTTCGACTTTAGAGTCTCACATCACATATCCCGCACATGAGAGACATTAGGATTCTTAACGACTATGTCATACATGTGAACGGAGCAGAACTTGGAAAAGTCCTTAGGAAGCGAAATGAGATCAATGGAAGATTGCTTGTGGTATTGGTACAAGTCAGGATCACCCCCGTAGTACCTCTCCCACCCTAAATCTCTCAAAATGTTCTCAAGAGAAGAGTAGGATGATACAGCCTCACCTGATGCCAAGTGCACCAAAAGCCTTCTCTTGGGGCTACTTTCAAGCCTATATACACAATTGTTAAACACCCAAACTCCAGACATTTTTTTGGGGGTTTTGTTTTCTATATGTATTGCTCCTGGGTAAACTAAGAAAAGGTGTTGAGAGACTACTGTAGCTTGTTGGTAGGAAAGGGGGAAGCGAGGGGTTTATATATACATGCGTGACAGGTGTACTGAGGTCTCTCTCTATACATATTGTGGGGCACCATGGGTTTAAATAAGAGGGTACATGGATGCCTTTAGGACATAATTTAGGCTACACATACCAGCCGTCAGGGTGTGGTTTTAGATTTGCAAAAGAATCCCTTTCTCTTTTCTTTTAATATATATGTTGTATGTTTAGTTTTCCTTTGCTTTTATAACTGGGAATCACGTGACACTTTTTTATATTATAATAATAGTGGCACTATTAGAATTAAATAACTAGAGTTAGTTAAGAGCAGTTAGTGTTCAGTTGAGGCAGCTACAGAGCTTCTAGAATTGTGCCAAGCTTCTGTTAGCTATTATAAAATCATGTACACCATCACTGGAATTAACAGAGAAAGCATTCTATGTTTGTTCAACATTAAAGCTCAATCTAGTTTTTCAATATGGTATCATTCGCCGATTATCCTACGGCCATCTTTTTCGCTTGCGTTTGTTGTTGTTGTTTTCTCTCCGATGCAATCTGAGGAAGCTGAAGAGCTTGACCGAAGTAGTATGGATGGATTATCTGATTTCATCTCAGTTCTGCCCGACGAGTGTTTGGCTTGCATTTTCCAGTTTCTTAGCCCCGATGACCGGAAACACTGCTCTCTTGTTTGCCGGCGGTGGTTGAGGACTGAAGGACAGAGCCGTCATCGAACTTTCCCTCAACGCCCAGTCAGATCTGCAACATTTGATTCCTTCCATCTTCTCACGCTTTGATGCTGTCACGAAATTGGCCCTGAAATGTATCCGTAGTTCTGTTAGCATCAGGGATGAAGCGCTTGTTCTAATCTCGGAGCGCTGCCGGAACTTGACTCGCCTTAAGCTCCGAACTTGTCGTGACTTGACCGATGCCGGAATGTCGGCTTTCTCTAAGAACTGTAGGGGCCTAAAGAAGCTTTCGTGTAGATCTTGCACTTTCGGAGCTAAAGGCATGAACGTCGTGCTCGACCACTGTCCAGCGAATTCCGTTGGGTTCTTGGAGAAGTTTTTTGGGTGCCCGGCGGGGACAAATCCCCACTGGTTGGATACTGCTTGCGGCGGTGGCCTCTGATGGGTCATTATTCACGTGGGGTGCTATAATGAGTATGGTTAGCTAGGCATAGGCGTCACTTCCGAAGGATTACTGGGGGCTCGTGTGAAAAATGCATGTGCAAAATTCCTTGATGAGGCTCCTGAGCTTGTGAAAATTAGCCAGGTGTCATGTGGAGAGTACCACACTGCAGCTATTTTTGCATAGTAGTATAATCCTTTTGTGTGTGTAAATAGAGGTTTAATTTTGTATTCATTTTGTTGCTTCTATCTCAAAGTGTTATGGGACTTGAAAACTTCAGAGTCAAGAGTCCATAAAAAAATGTGTCAAGGAACCTTGTAAAAGAGGGTGAAAAAGAAAGAAATGAAGGTGAATAAGAAGAAGAACGTAAGGAAGCATCAGTACTTTCGATTCAAAGTGAGCGGAAGGAAGCATCGACACTTTTGATTCAAGAAGAATGAAAGGAAGCATCGACACTTTCGATTCAAGTGAACGGAAGGAAGCATAAGCACTTTCGATTCAATTGTTCATCTTTTCAATTATTCAGGGTTAAGATGTGTATGTTACCTTGTTGAAGGAGGAGGAGAAAGTAGAGGGAATATTAGAACTAAATAACTAGAGTTAGTTAAGAGCAATTAGTGTTCAGTTGAGGCAGATACAGAGCTTCTAGAATTGTGCCAAGCTTCTGTTAGCTATTATAAAATCATGTACACCATCACTGGAATTAACAGAGAAAGCATTCTATGTTTGTTCAACATTAAAGCTCAATCTAGTTTTTCAATAGGCACACAGAAATCATTTTGAAAAGTCAGTCAATGGCAGTGAATGTTAGCATCATTAAACTAAAACAGTGTACTATATTCTCATCATGAGATGTCCACGTGAAAAGAGCCGCACGCAGCAAGATCTTGTAATTTGATTGATTTTGGAAAGATAGTTCATTAAACTTAATCTCTTGTAAAAGTATTTGTTGTATTTTTTTATTTCTATTTATAAGATTTAAACTTAAAATTTTATTTATAATACAGATATCTATCACTTGATTAAATATATTTTATCTTAATCATATCTAATATGAACACAAATTGTTTTTCTTAAAAAAATATGAACACAAATTACATAGTTTAATCTTTATACATGTAGTTAGAATGATAAATAAATTAAAATTTAGTTAATCCAAAACTAATATTGATAGAAATAAATTTCAATTCGAAAATCATTGAAGCCTAAAGTAGCAAACTGAAATAATAAAGGACCACAACATTAGGTCCCAGTCGTCTTTATTAGGAGAGTAGAAATGCTATCCTC